CTGGTATCAGTGGCCAGAAACTCAATTTTTGAATAATTTGTATGAGAATACAATCCAGCCTTTCACTGAAGTAGAAAAAGCCTGTATGCTACTTCTGACATATAAAAGCTTTACATTTTTCTAGTTACATGGCAGTGCTACTATGCAGATGAAATGAAGAAAAAGAACTAAAATACATAGGCTTTAGTTTAACATTTAAGTACCACACACAGCTTATAAATGTACATTCACAGTAAATAAATGTGGTAATATTTGGAGTACAGATAGTACTAAAGAAGTGTACAATTATCTTCTTGCTACTTGGAGTCTTAGATACAATTTTAATGGCATGAGCCATAGTTGGTGGACTTGCCCCAAAAGAATAACAATTAAAGCCAGGATTACCATTAGTTCCTGCTATAAAGGAAATTTTAGGGGGAAGGGATCTTCACATCTTTGATATGAGTTTTGAATATTCTAAAATATCTAAGATAAGCCTGCGCAAGGCAGTTGCTGGAGCTGTTTTACACCTCTGAAGCTTTATATACTTATCTATCTTTTAAATCTGATAAAGTATTCATAATTTATTGTTGTTTAAAAAAGGATGAAATGCAAACAAAAAGGGGAAATAACTACCTTATGTACAACATAAGAAGCAATTACTGTCTTTTAAAGAATGACTTCATCTATTCTGAAAAATGGGTTTTGTGATCCTCTTCCGATTGAAGAAGTTCGAAATTCAGACCATTTCTGGGCTCAATTGTGAGCTCAATTCAAAATTATGGTTATTATCAATAAAGTCTTATTACCTATATGGTTTGGGACCAGGCTATCTGAAGGACCGTATCTCTCCATATGAGTCATCTTGACCCTCAATCTTCAGAAAAGACCCTCCTCTCAGTCCCATTGTCGGTGCAGGCACAGTTGATGCAGACGTGAGAGAAGATCTCTGTGGCTGCTCCAAGCTTGTGGAATGTTCTCCTTTAGGGATCAGCCAGTGTATTCGTACTATGATAATTGCACGTTTGTTAATCTCAGAGTAGGAAGAGTCTACTTCCTGGTACTGATGAAACATTTTGTGTCCCTGGAAGAATTGGCCAGCCAACTGTGGCAAAAAGCCCACAGTATAATTTCACTGACACAACTGAGTGTGATTTTATATCCCCACTTTAGCCCCCATGCACCACACAAAACCTGTTCTAGAATGCTAGGAAACTCTTTTTTAGGACAACTGAAAGAGCCACAGAAAGAAAGGAGGAAAGATGGTTCTGTTGTGCTGATGTGATGAGCCTTCAGAGTACATGCATTGCTGCAAAGATTACTGTGTTTCTCCAAATATTTCTTGATGGTCCCATGGCAGCTCTGGGCAACATCATGTCCATGATGGCAAGTAAAACCAAGACCAAACAGACAACTTGCTTCAGGAGTTTATGATGCAGCAAGATTACCTCCCGTTCATTCACACTATTAACTAGAAGTTCATGAATCTTTAATTTTAAAAGAAATAGGTGGCTGTGCATGCCTTTATAATAAAATATACTGCTAGATACACATTTCTTCCTTCTTTGCTCATATTTCCTCACTGCCTTTCTATTTCATGTGCTGTGTGGTTTTTTGTTTTTGTCTTTTCAAAATTGGAGGCTGTGCACTTTCCTGGCCACTCATTAGCAATATAAAATACAAACAACCATGTTGACACTATGTACTATAAGGTTATAGTACATAGTTATAGTACATTTGTTATATGGGCCCAAGTCATTTATTGGGGCATATAGGAATATTGCAATAAGAATAATGGAATTATGATGAAAGAAAGATTGCCATATTGTATGATATTCAAAGATTAATATATAGCACTGTCATGTTTACTCCCCCACCATGTGTTCTAAAACTAAAGTGAAACAGAGTTGAGGTCTTGCTGTGGTTCATGTGTCTGACACACTGTAGCTGTTTCTGTAGGGTGTGTTTGTGTTCTGTATAGAAAAGGAAGTGTTTTGTTTTACCTATAGCTAGTCCAGACTGCATTAATCATGGTGGTTTGGCTCTTCCTCATGTTTTTCTACAGGTGTGCCGTCCGCTGTTCGCACTCACCTGCTTGTTATGAGTCTACATTTAGGAATTGGTGCAACTTGTAACTTTGGCCATTCGGCCTACGAATAATTTATCATTCCTTAAATAAGTCCAAGAAGTTCAGGTGGCAAGAAAATAACTTGTAATAGCTCAAGCAACTACATAATTTATTTTCCATATTTCCCCTTTTAACTTAAAAGTATTTCTCAAAATTCCTCACCTATCTGAAAATCATTAGACCAGACAAAACAAGAACAACAACCCCCCTTCCAAAAAAGCAAACAAACCCAAGTTTTTCTTAAGAGTCATCCAGTGTGCTTTCTGTTGGTTTAGTTATGGAACCACAAAAAGGTCATCAGACTTAGATAGATACAGAACATATTATATTTGTCTTTCTGAGTGTGTGCTCATTAAGGGATTGATTTTTGTCAAAGTACATTGGGTATACATTACAGCAGCATATTAGACATGAGATATTCGTGTTCGTCTCCCCAGGGAGATGAATACAAAATCCTGTGTCTACAGCATATGATAGTAGACTAGCTTTTCTGTCCTAGTGTATTACAGATATTTTGTTCTTCAGTATGGTCAACTGTCAGGAATAAACATATAAAGAATACTTGGTAAATTCTTTATAGCTGTCTGTTCAGGCTGTCTCAACCCAACAGTGAGGAACTTAAAAGGCCTACAAATTTCCATATTTCCAGCAAAGAATCAGATGAGTTCTTCTCCCATTAAATATCTCTATAATTTGTACAAAATGTCTTGGTGCCCTTTCTCTTTGAGAAGCAAAGCACACAGAAACACATAACAAGCACAAGAGAAATGGATGATGGTTAAGAAAGAAACGTACCATCAGTCTTGTGCTTCAGATTTTTAAACAAAGCAGCAGATATCCTAAATTGGTGCACTTAACGAACTTCATTATTTTCTGGAAAAAAATCAGCGTTTTTGTGCAAAATATCATTTTCCACATATCAGACACTTTTTTGTAAAAAAGTGTCAGGAGCTTTCTTGCAATCCTCACTTATGAGAAAAAGAATATTGCCGTTCTTTTTCTTCTCTCTCTCTCTCTCTCTCTCTCTCTCTCTCTCTCTTTTTGGCATGTGAAGACAAGATGAATGAAGATTTGCATCTCTAATCAGGAGTTCTCTGGCCAGAATCTTCTTGCTTTTGTTTGCCTAAGGGCACTTGTAGAAACACTTTTTGTCTGTCTTCAGCTTTCTGTCACATGTCCAGACTTCTCCTTATTGCATAACCAGTCATGTCATGGGCAACCCACCATGTGTGAAAATCACTTTCTCTTAACAAATGTGGAAAAATATCAACAGGATTTTGACTTCCGAGTTGTATTTGAAACATCTGGAGGGCAGTAGGTTGGGAGAGGCTGATTCTGTCAACTAAACCAAGAATAACCAGCTGGTGGCCCCCAGGCTGGATATTGCTGGCTCTGAAAGCATGTTTTCTGGTCTGAGAATGGAAGCTGTGTGAGACTCAGTCATGACATTGATGGAAAGAGCCAGGAGAAGATTGGATTAATAATACTAAGGACTGTAAGCCAATGGCCTGAGGGGTCACTATTCTTTGTCTTTCATCTTTGGCCAAGTAACTTTTAAGAAGCTTACATATTCGTCTGCCAAATTTATGTTGAGCCAGGAGAGTTTGTTCCTGTGATCTATACAATACTTACAATACATTTCTAAGTGTATGTGTGTGTAACTTTGTGTTATATTATCAAAACATAAGAAAGCCAATATGGTTTATTAGATGGAGTGTTAGACTGAGACTCAGGATGCATAGGAACAAATCCTTGTTCAGCAATGGAAACTCAAAGCGAGTGAGAGTACTAAACCAGTTCTTCAGCATCTCCCCACATCTTGAAAAGTCCGACAAAGATAGTGGGGGCAGAGAACTCAGGGTCTCCTGATTGGGGTTGCCATGGGCAAAACCTGTAGATGCTGTCTGCACCAATAGTGTGCAAAAGATGCTTGCATGGCTGAGTGCAAGCAGTGCAAGAATGTACTCAAGTATGGGCAGGACTTGAGCCGCCTCTTCAATAGTAACTTGCTCAGCCACCTGAAGACTCAGCATAGGACATTGCTATTGACAAATGAAGAGAGCACTGTGAGGACAAGTGGCTTCCTTTCTCTGAAGGGTGAGAATAATCAGAGAGCAGAGGGTAAGCCAACAGCACAGGGAAGCAGGGAGGTAGATAAGCAAATAGGAAGAGGTGGGAGGCAGCAAATGCCAGACCCACATTTCAAGAATAAATTTCAGGCTACCTTGGAGGAGTTTGGAGGGGCAGAAAAAGGCCTTCTGCAAACATAAAAAATCCAGGATTACTCGTTATATAGGGAGATGATAATTCTGGATGACCAACCAACTTTCTGGTGGAGAATATTGTTTTCCATAGGTTTGTGGCAGAATTGGCACCCCATTACCAATTGCCATCCTGAACAATCCTTAGCCACAGAGTTTTGGTCCCAGATTTATATTATGATGTCAGGTAGCTGGTACAAGCAGCAGTTGGCCAGGGCACAGGTGTACATTTGACAAGTGACATCTGGAGAAGCCAGGGTGCAAAACATTTTGGTGAGAGGTGGAAGCATCAGGCATAAGGCAAAACACAAGGGCAGATACAGGTGGACCCTGTTGAATGTGGTTGTGAGTTTCCATACCCGAGCCAGGATTTGAACTCTGTTCTCCAAAGTCCTCCTAGTCCATCAGTCTATCCACTACACCATACTGGGAATCCGTTCTAATCACTAGCTATTTATAATGTCTAGTTTTGCCATCAGAATCAGGGCAAATTCTATTCATACACAGTGTAGTGTGCTAACTACTATCCATTATGCATTAAATGGGCACGAATATGCACCTTAAAATTGTTCAAATTTATATTAAATCTCTATTTTGCTGATCATCTCTTTTTCTATTTGTTTGTTTTATAGCTCTTGGATGCTCTGAATGTCGTATGATACTGTCCAACCCCACAGGAGTTTTTACTTCCCCCTGCTTTCCTAATGACTATCCAAATAGTCAGGCATGCAAATGGACCATCAGGGCGCCTTCTGGATATATAATCCAAATAACATTTACTGATTTTGAAATGGAAGAAGCTCCCAACTGCATTTATGATTTCCTAAGACTAAACACTGGAGACAACCAAAAAACTCTTTGTGGTATCACTGCCAGAGGTTTATCATTTAATTCATCTGGAAATGAAATGATTGTAACTTTTACAAGTGACTTTAGTATCCAAAAGAAAGGTTTCAATGCCACTTATATGCGAGGTAGGTATATGAGACTTTTCTTTATTTCTCTTCTTGATAAACTTCAGAGTACATGTTGAAAGTGTACCTTGGAGGATGGAAGATGATATGGAATGCTGAGGGAACTTGCTTCAGTCCTGGAGTAAGCAAACTTCTGCTCACCATAATTAACTGTAATTTACTTTGTGTTACTTTACATAAGCCTTAAAAGCAGGCGTAGGTAGATAGATGTAATATTCTAAACAATTGTTAAAAGGGATCTCTCCTCTCATTCTCTATGAAGTAGCAGCCTGTGAATAGATCGTAAGGTGAGGGTTGCAGTGAGAGCTGTCCACACATCCTTCTTCAGTCATAGATAATAGTTTCAGATGCCTTACTTTTAAAGTTGCCTTCAGAACATATACATACCATTGTACAAAACTCTGGTAAGCCTGTACCTGGAGTATTGCTTACAGTTCTGGTCGCTGCACCTTAAAACAGACATAGTGGAACTGGAAAAAGGCTCAGAAGAGAGCGACTAAAATGATGACTGGGCTAGGGCACCTCCCTTATGAGGAAAGACTACAGCGTTTGGAGCTCTTTTGTCTAGAGAAAAGGTGTCTGAGGGGGGACATGATTGAGACGTATAAAATGCAGGGGATGGATAAAGTGGATAGAGGGAAGCTCTTTTACCTGTCACGCAATACCAGAACCAGGGGACATCCACTCCAATTGAGTGGTGGGAGAGTGAGAACAGACAAAAGAAAATATTTCTTTACCCAGTGTGTTGTTAGTCTGTGGAACTCTTTGCCACAGGATGTGGTTATGACATCTGGCCTAGATGCCTTTAAAAGGAGATTGGACAAATTTCTGAAGGAAATGTCCATCGCAGGTTACAAGCCATGTAATCAGTCTTAGAAAGAAGTTACTTCAAAATGCAGGGGACGGTATCAGGTATTTAGTTGTCTCATGTGCTCCCAGAGGCATTTGGTGGGGTCTCTGTGAGATACAGGAAACTGGACTAGATGGGCCCTTGGCCTGATCCAGCAGGGCTCTTCGTATGTTTTTATGATAAGATGGATTCTGGAACATGGTCTCCTGATTTGCAGAGGGCAGTTTCCACATTATATGCAATAGTGAATGGAATGCTTAAGAGTTTATCAATGACCAGCTAAAGCTACAATCTTGAGCATGCCTACTAGGTAGCAAACCTCAGTGACTACAAGGCATTTTATTTCAATTATAGATGTAAAGGTACTGAGTTGTCATTGTGTGTACAAAATACCTGCTTGCCTGTAGGGTTGTTTTGTAAGGATACCTGAGCAGATTTATTCCACTGGAATTCAAAAGTTTGGAAACAAAGAGCTTTTATTTGCAAAATAACATGGTAGAAGTGCTCCCTACAAAACCTAAAAGAGATGCTTGGCATTCATTTCTGCAGAATAATGCAGCTATGTAAAACAAATCATAGGGAAATACATAGGGATATGAAAAGTTTTTTTTTTCAAATTCCTGTCTGCTGAATAATGTAAGGTTAAAAAGGTATACCAAAGCAGTTTTGTAAATGAATTGCTATAGCTTTGTGGGAGAATATAGCTGTTATATTTACAAAGTAAGATGTCCTCACTGACCAAAGTATGACCTTTGAATATTCTTGTGTTCTGATTTATCTGGTATCTACCTATAATATGAATAAATAGGATTATACTAGTTTGAGAAGGCTTTTAAAATGAGCTGTTCTGAAAACACCTTTCCCCTCTATATTGTAGTTGCTGTGTCCTTGAGGAATCAAAAAGTTGTCATTCCCCAGTTCTTGGATGTTGACTCAGTATCTCTGGCAAATTCTGTCCAAGTGCCAGACCTTAACCAGTTCACACTGTGCTTTGAAGCAACAGAAAACAGCAACAACAGCCAAGACTGGAAGGCTTTCTCCTATTGTGATTCTTCATCTAAAGAATTCTTCAGCTTTGGGAAGACAAAAGAAGGCCACTTCGTATATATCTCAGGCACACAGTGTTTGTTAGATGATACCCTTGGCATCAATCCTGATGGAGCCTTCTTCACAGAAACGTTTGAAGAGCTTTGCATTGTATGGGATAGCTCCTCCGGCACCATAGGTCTAAATTTCAGGAACACATATAAAACAGCATACTGTTTTGATACTTTTGGAAAGGTCATTGCTGGTAATGGGAAGTTGGTTCTAGGTTCTGATAGAAAAGATATAAACTCTCTCAACGGAGACATTTACAACTTTCGGCTTTGGAATTTCACAATGAATTCCCAAGCACTTTCCAACCTCAGCTGTGATGTGAAAGGGACTATTGTAGACTGGGAAAATGACTTTTGGAGCATCCCAACAACATTGCTAAAAGCAGAAAACAACCTGACCTGTGGTGAGTATCTTTTATTAAATCCTCTACTCCCTGCTTAGTTGAAAATGAGCTAATCTTCCCACACAGAAACCTTGCCATTTTGGGGCGTGTCAGTTTTTCCAGTAAAGGACAATTTTTTGCTTTGGGGCATGTTTTCTCTTTTTATTAATTCAGAAGTGAATTGCTGAGTTTGAGCTTCAAAACATGACTAGCAAGTTCTGCTAAATGTTTATTTCTTTTTATTATATATGCCGGAATTAATAATAATAATAATTATAAGTAAAGAAAAATTACTTAGAGCAGTGAAAATGGAGAATATTTTGAAAACAACAAAGACTCAATATAAGAAACAACAATTTGAAAATAAATTAAGCAGTTGGAAAATCAAACCACTATGTGGACAACACCTGAGAAATATTGATGGAAAACATGATCATATTTCAACATAGACATGGCTAAAACTGGGAACCATTAAGAAGGAAGCCAAATACTTGATTTTTGCTGCACAAGAACCAGCCAATGTTTTTGTAATTTTGATTGACTATGCTTGGTATTTTTTAATAATAATAATAAATAAATAAATAAATAAATAAATAAATAAATAAATAAAGTCAATAATAATAATAGTAGTAGTAGTAGTAATAGTAGTAGTAGTAGTAGTAGTAGTAGTAGTAGTAGTTGTTGTTGTTGTTGTTGTTGTTGTTGTTGTTGTTGTTGTTGTTGTTGTTGTTGGATCTCCTCCTCTTCCTTAAACTAAACAAAAGGCAGATGCCCGAAATGAGCTAAAAGAAAGGTGTGCATGATAAAATGTGGGTGCATTCAGTTGCCAGTAAAGGCTAGGTAAAGGGGTAAGGAAGTAGCAGAGAATGCATCACATCCTTATTCACTTGGGTTCCTTCTGGGGTCACATGCAGGACAATTCTGTTCACTATGCAAAACAACACAAAGCACTGTCTTTTCCTTCTCTGATGACTTTTTAAAACAATTCAGCCACTCTGCTAATGGGACTCTGTAGGAGATTCAGAAAGTTGAAGATGGTTATAGAAGAGATATGACTTAAAATGTTGTGAGTGGAAAGGAACCGTTCTGTTCATTATGATATTCATTGCAATAAAAGCCAGCAAACAATAAAGGGGCCTTACTATTTGTATATACAAATACACTGCTATTATCATAAGCCTTTTTTTTCCATTTAAGTTTACACTTTTTTCCCTTGGCAAATGTTTTTTCTGGTGGACTTACTGAGATTAATAATACTTATTGTATTAAAATACTGGGAAAGAGAATCACCATGGAAGAGCAATGTCTTTTCCCATTTGAAGTTTGGATTCCTAACGCTTTAGATTTACTTTTGTAAATCTGTTGCCATGTAGATCCTCTGAGGCTGACCCAAGTATTATTTATTAATATCCTTTAGTTTTCATTGCTTTCTATGAGAAAGCAAACCAGATATGAGTTCTCTTTTATATATATATATATTTGAAATAAGAACCCTCCAAAGCCATAGTCCCAGAGCCTTATAGTGAGCTACATACATTATATTGATGAGTATTGGATTTTGTGGCTGTTTCCTTATTTTTCCACACCAGAGAATGTCAGCACACACATTCAGGTTCCGTTCATGAATATTAATTCTCCGGTGCAACCCATTTTCTTTTGCCATTTATACCTAACCCTGATTTTCAGTGAGGTGGCAGCTGGGTGGATTTGACTTAAAATCAAAATTTAAATAAAAAGCATTGATTTGTTTATAATATAAATAAAAAAACATTGATTTTTTGAAATGCATTGATTTGTTTATAATATAAATAAAAAACATTGATTTTTTTTGAAATGTTAATCAATTTTATTTAAAAATAATCATTGATAATTATCCACCCAGGATGGCAGTGTTAGTCTAACATTTCTCTGAAACAGTGAATTGCAAATCTGTGGAACTTCACACAGAAATAAATCTATATGTTTTTGAGATGGCATAATACTTTTATTTGTTTGTTTGTTTTTGGTATCAGCAGTAACAGCATATGGAATCTCTACCACCAGGCCCCTGGTTGCTCCAAGATACTACCAGTACAACTGTGTCTCATAGATTATTTAATTCTATGAAATCATGGGAAGCACAATTCTTATACGTAGTCCCAATTACACCCCTAGAAGCGTAAGTGAGAAAAGTTTGGAATGAGGTTTGGGAATACTGTGTTCTGGAAGAAATAAATGAACAGACTAATGAAAGAATCAAGAATATACTCCCCACCCCCTGAAATACAGTTTCCCAAGATGTGATTTGAACCAAGGCATTTTTTAATTTCCAGTCAGAAAGTTAAATGAAATCCTTCATTAGCAAAATCTTAAACAGTTAGACACTTCCATAGGTATACATGGACATCTCATTTGAAAACAGAAAGGGGAAACCCCATCTAACTACTAACCACCAGTTTCTATACACTAACATTTCTGGGCTATTTGTTAGTTAGCAAACACCTGAGAAGTGGTAGACAGCTTTCAGGGTGGATTTTATTTAAATTATGATTTAAATTTTAAAAAAAAACCAAGCTCCACTAAGATTTAAATCATGATTTAAATTTTAAAAAAACCCAAGCTCCACTAAAGTTAATAGTGCTTACTTCTACATAAGTGTTCATAGAATTGCAACCTAAAACTCTAGATCCAGTCACGGGAGTTTTAATTTTCTTGTTTGCAAGAATTTTTTTTCTCAAAGGGGTATTTTATTTTTGACTCTATTTAAGGAGTCATTTTCAGATGATAATGGGTTTATCATCTAGTGATCATTTTTTCAGACTCGATTTGTATCAATAGTGCATTGCTTTGTTAACATTTTGCATTTATAATTCAAGGATAGCTACAAACTAGTCCTCTGCCTAAGCAATCTGCATTGCTTTGTTAACATTTTGCATTTATCTAATTCAAGGATAGCTACAAACTACAAACTAGTCCTCTGCCTAAGCAATGTTAAAAAATGGGGAGAAAAAAGAAAAAGAAAACTATCAATATTGTTATCTCTTTTAGCAACATAAGTTGCCACTCTTGTGTCTCTGATACTTGAGGCAAAATAATCCCCCTCTTTTGTTGGGGTCAGCTGGAGAAGATGCCTTGAATACTCCGCCAATTGCATCAATATATATTGTTAAGTTTTTCTCAATAAATTAGCCTCACTCATGCACTTTTCCATGACTGTGTTCATGTAATTATATAACACACCATTTTTTCCAGCTTTCATATTGCTAGTATTTTTTCCCCCAACAAAGTCGGTCTGTTTTGTTTTAATTTCTTTTCTTTTGTTTGTTTGCTTTCAAAGGTTCCTATCTTATTCCAATGCCCACAATTGAACCAACTAGCTGTGCAAACCTGGGAAGCCTCTGCCAAGGTAAGAAACAAACATCATTCTGCTGGTTCAGAATTCATCACTTTATTTTATTTAGCTTTAATTAAATCTTTCTAACTTTTACCTCTGTAGATAAAATAGAGACAATAATGTTGTAGCCCTATAGCCCATCAGCTGATAGGCGGGGAGCGGAGGGTGCAGGAAGGGGGGGAGCACAAAATGGCTGCCAGGCTCCCTTCTGGTGTGGGCTTTTAGCTGTTTCCTGCTCTTTTTCCTGCTGTTTGGGGGCTACCAAGGCCTGGTAAGTGAGTTTCTTTTATTTATTTTTAAGTTTGTGACCCTTTTTTCCCCTCGAGAAGCCTCTAAGGGGAGGGAGGGGGCACTTTTTTCCTGCACATAACTCGAGGGAAGTTCGTATGTCGAGTCCTTATTTCCCCTATAGGGCGGTTCGTAAGTTGAATTGTTCACAAGTATGCATCAATATATATTGTTAAGTTTTTCTCAATAAATTAGCCTCACTCATGCACTTTTCCATGACTGTGTTCATGTAATTATATAACACACCATTTTTTCCAGCTTTCATATTGCTAGTATTTTTTCCCCCAACAAAGTCGGTCTGTTTTGTTTTAATTTCTTTTCTTTTGTTTGTTTGCTTTCAAAGGTTCCTATCTTATTCCAATGCCCACAATTGAACCAACTAGCTGTGCAAACCTGGGAAGCCTCTGCCAAGGTAAGAAACAAACATCATTCTGCTGGTTCAGAATTCATCACTTTATTTTATTTAGCTTTAATTAAATCTTTCTAACTTTTACCTCTGTAGATAAAATAGAGACAATAATGTTGTAGCCCTAACCATCTATAGATTATATATCATATGTAGAAAGCTTTATCTGATAACCCAATTTTTGCAAAGTCTAATAACTGTTTCATCTGCATTTGCAGATTCTATCGAAGAAGCATCTACCATCATTTGTTCCTTCAATTTGTCCCCCCTCCCCATATTTCAAAAACACAGGTTTCACTGAAAGATGAGTAGATGGTCTGCAGATAATAATGTATGAGCAAACCAGTGGTACTAATCATATGCATGAAGGAGGTCCAGCTGATAGTTTCCTAGCTTGTGCCTGATCAGAGGGAGAATAAGAGAAAGAAAGCTGTCCGATAGAAAGGTTGATGATCTTGCTAATTGAATTGTGATATTTCAGTATAGTTTTTTATTGACTTGGGAGGTGGCCCCAGCTTTAGAAAGTTGCTCCCCACCAAGTTGCATTTCTTTAAAAAAAAGAGGTATCAAGCTGATGAATAGCTGACATTTTAGGAATTTATAGTAATATTTAGAAGTATCAGCCACTCAAGAACTGGGATCATTTAGTGAATTCTAAAAAATCCGCTTTCTTGCAGCCCAGTCCTGTGTATATTTATTCAGAAGTCTCATTGTGTTCAGGGGAGTTTACTCCCAGGTAGGAGAAGAGAGCTGAAACACAAGAATGAGAGGGTAGAAGTGTGTACAAACTGCAAGATCTAGTTGTGATCAGATGTGATGATTTGGAATATACTGTAGTGGCAACTTTCAGATGTATCACTCCCAGGATTTTTTTTCCATGATTCAAACTAATTTTTAGGCATTCAAGATTCTTCTGGAGGACAAAACTTGCCAGCTTTGATTTAGATATGCCAGACCTTATATACATGATTAAATAAATACAGTAATAACTTTCACAAAAATAGATAAAGGAGCTGTTGTGTGAACTCTTCTGAGTTCCTATATTGTATGTTTGTGGGGGAGGGGGCTTTTGCTTTATTTGCAAGAATTATATGAAACATGCAGTTATTGCCATCTTTGTAAGGATAAAGAAGCCCTGCTAAATTTTGGACAGATGGATACAAGGACGGGGGCATGCTCATGCATGCAAGTGGAAAAAGGATTTTTCTCTATGTAAAAATTGATATCCCTCCTCTGGTTATTTTAGAGCAGTTTTTATAGAACAAACAGGTATTAAACAGGTGCCCCTTTATGAGTAACCTACAGAATTATGGAAAAATAGGGCCTTTTGTGCCATTAAAATTTATTTTGGGAGAAGAGGGACAATAATGGATGTTACCCACACACACACACACACACACACACACACACACACCTACCTTGTGATTATGTGGGCAATGAATAGATATGTCTAAACATCCAAGTTGCTATTGGAAGTAGAGACAGTCAAGGAAATAAGAATTGTAATGACACTTTACTTCTAGCAGAGGGATCAGGAAATGGTTTAAGGGAGGATTAAAGTAAATGGCTGGGAAGTGCAATAAGGATTGATTGAGAGAATGAGTGTTGGTTGTAAGGATAATGGATCAGAAGGCTAAATCAGTGGTTCTTAACCTTTGTTACTCGGATGTTTTTGAACTGCAACTCCCAGAAACCCCAGCCAGCACAGTTGGTGGTGAAGGCTTCTGGGAGTTGCAGTCCAAAACTCCTGAGTAACCCAAGGTTAAGAACCAGTGGGCTAAATGAACCACAATGAACTTCTCTCTTACTTAGCAAAGAGCTTCTCTCTTACTTAACTCTTCCAGTGTTCCTGGTCAGGTGAAACAGAAGTAACAAAAAACAGAGAACAAAGGAGAGTAAAACATTAGTTTCAAATTAACATCCTATTTGGTGACAACAGGGTGCTTAATTGAAAGACAGACCTCTCAATTACTTCAGGTCCTTTCCTTCCCACCTCCCTTTCTGTCCCTATCTTAGCACTGAATACTGAATATTATTGTTAATCAAAAGATAATGCAGAATGTATTCTGAGAGAACCAGGTGCTCTTTAAGAATTTATTTTCCCCTCAAATTTCTTTGTTTTCTTGAAGATGGCTACGCTGGACATTAATATTTTTGCACTGGCTCAAACAATGTAGTTTCCCCCTTTGTGTTAACCTTTCAATCCTCTGTGTGGTTCTTCTCTGAATGGTAGTGGGAATTCTGGGCACTACTTTGAAAAATATATCCTCTTACAAACATACCCATGTTTGATTTTAATTCTGTTTTTAAACAGAATTTAAAAGATTTGTTTAAAGCTTTACTTGAGTAGCCTATAATGGCTATGTTTATATTGGTTGGGGGGGGGGGAATTGTTTAGTTGTCTTAAGATTAAGTGATTCACAATGTGCCTATTCACCAAATTGCACCTGTTACTTCAGCAAAAGATATTGTTGACATTTGGGCTTCATGCAGTTATTTTGTCTGTTTGTATCCTAAGCCTTAAACCTCAAATAATCAAGACTATGTCAAATAATGTGTTTAAGATTGACATATTTAAACATATAGCTGTATTATTTAGGTGAGGGAAGATTTATAAAGGCCTAGATCCAGTTGCTAATTCCAGGTAGAGTAAACCTATTAAATCAAATGATGAATGGTAAGTTCACACTTATTTAAATTTCATTGATCCAACGAATCTAAACAGAAAATTGAATTGAAGTCACATTGTTCATGTTTACAAAACCCTATAAAGGTGGATTCATATTACTTCCATTTTCCATGTCAGCAAATAAGGCTTGTTTGGAAATGTGTGGCTAAATCTAAATTTAGATTTAGACTGAACACAGAAACGTTTATTTGTGTATTGTGTAACTTGTTCAGTCAGGCAAACCCTCTATTCCCAGTTCATGTTTTCATGCATTATTTCCATTTTTCCGATTCTGATTAACATTCTTGTTCCACATAAGTTCACATCTTTCTCATCTTTGTTACCAGCTACTGTAAATTCTACCACTACATCACCCACTGTTACCACTAACATGCCTGATACTAACAGAACCGATAAACAAACCAATGGTAAGAAATTCAATGTTACATTTTCTTTGTTATGTTACTAAGGTGTTATATTTCTTTCCAGCATATCAATACTATTATATACTTCATAAATTATATAAAGGAATTTGGTTTTACTGCAACAAAAACCGCTGATTATGTCCCATTGGTGGAGAAAGAAGATAAAATGTATTTCCTGTATAAGGACAATCACCTTCTTAGACATTTACAGAATCTCTATCATCAGTCTTCAAACGTTGTATGTTAATATTCACATCTGAAAAGGACAATCCTTACACAGCTAGTGATGCCATATATAATTTTAATTCTATTGCTGGGGTTAACCAAAAGGTTTATTATCATTACTGGAAGGTCTATTCATGTCCATTGTGAATCCAAGAAGAAATAGGAGCAGATAGTTTCAGAATATGGAGTCTTCTCAGTCAGAACAAGAAAGATTAGCCTGTCCTGGTTTATTTGTCTGGTGTATTTCTGTATGACTCTACAAACAGAAGCACTCAGAAAAATAACAAATATAAGCTAACGATATATAAATAGATTGGTGAGCTAGACCCAGAACTATATTCTTATCAAGCTATGTTTACCACCTAATGACCGATCACAAAACAAAGGAAAATACAGTGGTGCCTCGCATTATGATGTTAATTTGTTCCAGCGAAATTGCTGTAGAACGAAAACATCATAAAGCGATTTTTAAAAGCCCACAGAAACGCATTAAAACCCGATTAATGCATTCCTGTGGGCTTGAAACTCACTGCCCAGCGAAGATCCTCCATAGCGCAGCCATTTTCGCTGCCCGTGCAGCGAGGAATCCATCCCAGAAAACAGCAGGCGGACATTTTTTTACCCGGTGGCCATTTTGAAACCACCGATCAGCTGTGCGAAAATCGTTGTTTTGCGATAATTGGTTAGCGAAGCAGGGAACCGATCATCGCAAAGCGAAAAAACCCCACAGGAGACTTCATCATACAATTTTGTCGTAAAACGAAGTGCTCGTCTTGCAAGGCATCACTGTACAGTGGGGTCTTGACTTAAGAACGACTCGAGTTAAGAACATTTTGACTTAAGAACCACTCTCATAGGAAAATATTGACTTGACTTACATACTTAGATTTGCGTTAAGAACTGAAAATAACCACGTGGGAGGCAGGGAAAGTGCAAAATTTGAACTTTCAGTTAACTGTTGGCCAGTGAAAAGGGTGCCTGTCTGCTTCCTCACTCCTCCCAGCGTTTAGAGAGTGGATTGGGAGTCTTCAGACTGCCTGGTACTGCCTGGACTGTATTTTCCCTGCCTTCCCTGAACCTTTCTTGACCTAAGAAAAAAAAGAAACAAAATATCCCCCTCTAGTGGTCGAAGGCAGAATAGCAGCTTCCCATTAGTTTCTATGGACGGAAAAGAGCAGATACGGATCAAATGGTTTTCAATGCATTCCTATGGGAAATGCAGATTTGACCTGAGAACTTTTTGACTTGAGAACCGCCTTCCAATACGAATTAAGTTCTCAAGTCAAGACCCCACTGTAGTTTGTAACACGTGAGGGGTTGAAAAACTTATGATAGATAAATAGACATTAGAGTTCTGCTTCTAATGTCATGCTAAATGTATTGTGTAATTTGACTCTGGGATAAAGCCAAGTAGATGAAGTAAATGGAATACTGGGGCCTATTAAATTAAATAGCACACAGAATGGAAGTTGTAGAGATAGCCTTGACTGTTTGCGAGGTGCCTGTTGAGTGTTGGTTGGTAACCTGATCATCAACTGGCACGTGACAGCTGCCATGCCAAATAGCTGCAGCTGTTTCTGCACCTTCTGTTCCATACATGGTAATTTGCAGTAGGATACTGGCCTGAGACTGTAAGGAGAGCTGCGTGTAGAGCTTGCACTGGTGGCCTGCAGTACAATCCATGAATAGCATATGAAGAAGGTGGTGTGTGAAGAATTGTTTCCAGTCTGTGGCCCTCTTCACATATGCCAGGGTCCCCCAGGGAGCCATAAAGCACCCCCCCCAGTTGAAAATGGCTGAGTGAGATCAGGGTCCCCACCCTTGCCAGAAAGGACTAGCCTCAGCCTCACCCAGGTCCCACCTGTTATTTATGTAAATAAAAGTTGTATATGGAGTGAGTAATGTCTTCACTAATTGAGGAGGCACTGCTCTCCACTTCAGGGTCACGTTTTCCTGCATTATTTCCTTTTTTCCTCATTTTCATTAACATTCATGTTCCTTACAAATTCACTTATTTCTCATGTTTGTTACCAGCTACTGTAAAATGCATCATTACATCACCCACTGTCACCACTAACATGACTGATACTAACAGAACCGATAAACAAACCAATGGTAAGAAATTCATTGTTATATTTTCTTCATTATGTTCCTAAGCTACTATATGGCTCAGTAATTCAGTCTATATTCTGAAGAAGGGATCTCAAGTACATTTCCTGTATAGGAGAAATTACTTCAGACATCCATCTCTTTTTGTTACGGTTGTTTTGTTAATGCTAAAAGTCAACAATTTTAAAAGACCATCTTAATACTGTTATTCATGGGATGTATTCATATAGAGTGCAAAAGACTTTATTGTTATTATTCTCTTTTAATTATCCGAACTATACTTTCCCGTGTAGGCCCCACAGAGAGTCTGCAGCTCATGCTTTATATTCTGTTTTTTTCTATGGTTCTAATCTTCCATATTTCTTTAAACTCACTGTCTTCCTCCAAAAATTTTTTAAAAGTACTTGTATTAGCTGCCAGGGAGAAGAAAGGGGATCTAGTCACAAATATTTTGGGAACATTATGCTGCACACATTTGTTCACACATTCTTTGTGAACATGTGTGAAACAAAAAGAGAAAGATCTCTCTCTCTCTGTGTCTCTGTCTCTGTCTCTGTCTCTGTCTCTGTCTCTCTCTCTCTCTCTCTCTCTCTCTGGGGCTTTATGGCTTCTTAGTTTCTCTTCACTTTCTCTGATGTATTTTTCCTATCACTTTATTACTCCCCTTATATATCTGTGATCCTTCCTCTCCATCTTCCTCTTCTCCATCTCTCTCATCCTTACTGCTCTGGGCAAGTTAATGGAACAATTTCATTCATTTGCTTGGAGGAGAGGAGAAAGTCCTGTCCAAAAAAAGTGTGGAATGAGAAAAAGACAAACCTTTCATTCTAAGGATCATTGGGAAGCAACGGGCTTATATGTTCCCCAATCATTTTTTGACAGCATAACTTTTCCCTGTCTAGATGAATGGGGGAAAAACCCCACTCTGCCATATGGGTTAAGAGGTTTTAACACTATGTATATAATTTGTATCTTACAACTAATCTTACTCATAATGAATAAAAGATACACAGAGTTATGGGTAATTCATTCCTTAGAAACATAGGGCCAGAATATGGATATTGCTGAGTCATTTAAGTCAATGGGAACTGCACGTATCACATCAAATAAAGATGTATTAGCTCAAAACCTCTTTAGAGTTTTCAATGTCTGTGCACGTAATAGCAGACACAGACTTGAAATAAATCAGTGCACTTCCCACTGATACACAGTTCCTGCATATCCAGCCTCTAAAATGTATCTGATGGAGCAAAAGTTACTTTTCATCAATAATATTTTTAATTAACTATATGACTTACTGTATACAGACCTGCAGGAAATGAAAGCTCCTGCTGCAGTGGTCTTCAGAGTCAAGAGAAATTCAGCTGATTCTTCTCAGCCTCTACTACAAGGGCAGGAAGATTCAAAGATAAGAGGTGTCAAAAACATAGGAATTATTTCAACTCCAATAGTTTGGCCTGTGAAACAAAGGCCTCTTCATACCAGGAAATCCACATCAACTGAGGAGCAAAGTCCAGAGAGGAAAAATATATTCATTCTGACAACCCCTGAGGTCTCATCATCTGCTCCACAGGAAACACAAGTTAATATCTTGGGTCCTTTTACAGAACAAGCAAATATAGACCATAATTCTTCTATGAGGAACTCAGTATTTAATATTTCCAGGCACTCTAATAGATCACTAAGTGAGAGTGGTAATCTGAGGGAAGTACCTAGTATCCCTCTTGATCATGTGAGGAATATGTTATTTCCTCTTCAACAGAGTGAAAATATGGGTGTAGGACCAATATGGACTTGGGCATCTCAGTTAGAAGATCATATATCAAATACTTTATTCCCTTCTCTGGTGACCAGGAACATACTTTTTAAACCCTCGGAGGATCCTCAATGGATGCTGTCATCTGAGAGTGATATATTCTCTCCTATTGATAGAACTCCTTACAGCTTTTTACAGTCTTTGAGTGCATGGAATGAAATTGCATCTTACATGACTTCTGGAATTTCAGAGGAAACTCTTCCTTCTCATTCTAGTCAGTCTTATATGCACTCTAGTGAATCATTTGAAGACTCAAGACTGGAACTAAAGAGGTCATTTGAGAACATCTACCTGGAGCCTACTAAGAGAATTCTGCAAGAAGATTCCATTCAACATGGCTTTGACCTTGCTGGCGAACTGCAGCCCACAAAGCTTAATTATATCAAAAACTATAATTCAGAACATTTAAAAAAACAAGTTTTTAATCACAGTGGAAATCCCTCTGACTCTTTACAAAACACAAAAGCCTGGTTTCCAGATGTTGTGACAATAATTAAGCCAACAGAAGATCTGCTGACTGTGGAATACAGTAGAGAATTACAGGGGTTATCAAAAGTGTTAACCAAAACAAAAGAGAGAGCATCAGAAATTCAGGAAACTGCATCTGTTCCCTATTTATATCAAGGAACTTTCAGTATGGCTTCTTCAAAAGATAGCTTATCTAGATTTAAGCCTCTTACTGAACAGCTAGCTTCCCCAGAGCAGGAGGAGGCTTTAATTCTGGAAGGTAAACTTCAGTTAAACTCATTTATTTCTTATATTAACTACACGTCTTCTCATTCCTTTGAAAATATTAAATCAAAACCAAATACGCTTACAGAAGCTAAGCATGCAGAAAACAATCAACATGATA